AATCGTTTCACTCTCGGGTTCTACATGAAATGATAACATATGCTTTAACATGATGATAATGTAAACATGATGCTTTCACGGTACATGAAATGTAAAAACACCCCGCAATTGATTTTCCTTCACGGTACAGTTGTAAGCCAACAAAACCAACTTGGAATCCTACCGTCAAGAACCACACATGTGACTTGACCAAACTGATCTTGGAACCCTATTAGTCACAAAACATGACCAAAACAAGATCAAACACTAATCAAACACTTTGGGTTTGCTTTTAATTATTTTTGAATTAATTTGGAAATAAGCCCAAAAATAAACTTGTTCCAAATGACCTCAAAATTTTATGTAAGCTTACTCATGATAAATTAGTGTACTAAAATAAATTTCATAATTTTTGGAGCTATACAATGACCTAGAAAAATTATGGAAATTGCATTTATCAATTAATTGACTAAATTTTTGAACATTAAAAATTTATTCAAATTTCAAGTTTCATATTTTTCCTAAATAGTATTCATCACAGAGAGATCACACAAAAATTTCATAATTTTTGGAGCTCTAAACAAATCTACACAAAAATAATAAAAAACAGACACTATTCATCCATTTCTGAAAATAGAAAAATTCAATTTGAACTATACAGTCGCTGACATACGGGACCCACTTGTCATCCCTAACCTCCGGCTTTGACCGCGACGACGATGGCGCTGACCGACGCGAACTCGTCGTCGGTGAGCCCAACAGCGACGGCCATAGCACCAAAACGTTTACAACGACTAGACGCATCGAACTCTGGCACTACGGAGGTTGATTACGACGTGGAATAAGGCTGACACCGGGCATGGCGGACGTGGTGGCACGGCATCGCTACGCCAGCGAAACAAGGCCAGTAGAGATCAAACAAAAGGCTTAGAAAGGATCAGCAGCTCACCCCGAACGTGTTGAAGCAAAAAATGAGACCGGAGGAGCTACGGTGACGCGGGTCGACGGTGACAGCGGTCACGGCGGAGCAAACTTCGTCGGCGACGGAGTTTCGGTGACTGCAGTGAGCAAAACGACCAAGCAAGAACGGATTAAGCATCACAGCGTCGAGACGAAGCTGTAGCGACAACAAGCAAGGACAACGGCTCACCGGATGATGCTGGCCGCGGTGAAACGGAGTTTCGGTCGAGATCGCCGGCCGCGAGGAAGAAAAACGTAGACAGCGAGTTCTCGGCGAAATCAAGTGGTAGCAACAGGTCGGTTGGAGGCGCAAGGAGCAAAGTAAACCGAGACATCGCTTTTCCGGGACTATCTTGCGCTGAGGAGGCGAGGATAGCTCGCCGGAGCTGAAGCGGTGGCGGCGGAAAACAGAGGAGAGAAATCAAAGTCGACGACGGCGTCGGAGCTTTATAGCGCGGCCAAGAGTGCGAGAGAACGACACGCAGTGAGCTGCTCATGCCAGCGCGAAGCCGAGGGCGGTCGCAGACGTGCCTGGAAGACCGAAGAAAGGACGCCGGCGGTGGGGCGGTGGTCGGCTACTGTTCCGAGAAATTACAGAATTGCCACCGAGTTCATTTTGCAAATTACTCTCAAATTTTCTAAAGAAGTTGAAAATCTCCAAAAATGAAAGTTGCTCAACTTTTCAAACTCTACAACTTTGCTTCAATAAACATTTTCAAATTCTGCCTCCATTTTGAAATTTAAATTTGGGGTGCATTTGAGTATTTGAATCATTTCAAAATTACTCCAAATTTTATATGTAAACTTGAAAAACTTTGAATACCAAAGTTTATCCACATAAAATAATCTTCAACTTTGCTTTTTGCCTCAACCCCTAATTTCACATGGATTTTGAATTAGTCAAAAGGGGCAAAAATGACTTTTATAATTTGAATTTGAATTCAAATTTGATTTGTCTTTCTTTTACTTTAACTTTGATTTTTGACCAGTAACATGGCCCATTAGGGTTATTTGAGTCAAATGACACATGGCCTCACATGATGACATGAAATTTGACCCTGGTGGTCATGATCTTTATTTAGGATTTTAAAACACATCACATGAAATAACAACATTATGAAATAAAGCTTATTTAGTGAATGCATTCAAAATTTTCTACTCCATGAATGCTTTGCAATGCATATGATGACATGTCAAATTTTAGTGCTAGGTCAAAACACCAGAGGTGTTACACTTTCTATATATATTTGATCAAAATTAAGAATCTTTGACTTCTCGGGATACAAGATTTATATTCTTTTTTAGGTTGAAGGAAGTACATAGTAAAAACAATTAAAAAAAGCTAAAACGACTTATAATTCGGAATGTTGAGAGTATATACTTAGTCATAATGCCTCTGGTCACAAATAAGATGCATTCAAAATGTACCAAAATTGTACTAATATTTGAAACTACTATTAAGAAAAAAATATGGTCGCACCATTTATATGAAAACAAGAAAAACAGAATTTTTCAAAAGGATATGTTGGCCACAAACTCAAAGACGATACTTATTGCCGGCTAGAGGGAGTATACACGAGCCATCATACGCCGCCGCAAGGTGAAGGTGCGCTAGCTAGCAATGCTTGCCGTTATTTATCACTCGCAGCCGCACGCAAAAAGCTTTGCACTACACGTTTTATTTAGACATCCATTATAAGATAGCTAGCTCTTGCTTTATCAGCCCAGTTGTGCTTGTTGGCTCCAATGTTTAGTTCTCACATGGATAAGCATGCACCTTCAAAAGCCATTAGGCAGCCCTACTGCATGGACATGTAGGTTTTTTTGTGAAGAAAATCAGCAGGAGCACTACTCTATCATTTAAATTTAATATAAGTAGAGCAACAACAAGCCGAGTTTTTGGGACCTAAAGTGAACAGTAAGTGGGCCGACAAAAAGACCGAGTTGTTTGGAAGGGAAAAAAAACTGTGTCAGAACTCGCCCATGGACACCTATCTGCACGGAGTTTTCAAGATGGGCTCAAGTCGGGCCGCTTGACCATTTCGGCATGTATAGAAATGTAAATAAAATGATTAATGAATGAAATAATAATTAGGCTAGTTCACCCTGGCCTAATATTTTTCTTTGGGCCCTCAAGACTAGTGGACAACCCTCACCGTACCCCCGCCACCCAAGGCAATCTCGCTACAAATAAAGCTGGCCAAAACTGGTTTACGGCTCTGTTCGCGGGGAGGAATCTGGATGAATCTATTAGAGAGTGAACAGTGTTTTTTATCCATAAACAGTGTTTTCCGGCTGAATTTCAGGGCAGCCGAACGGCACCTGTATGGTTTGGTTTTTATTTTGAGCAGCTGAGCTAGTTGGGTGATTGGGTCGATCAGCTCGCCATTGGATGTGGCAAAAAGCGAGGAGATCGGCGTAGAGGTTCTGATCCAGCAAGCTGTGCACCTGCACAAAACCCATGTGGAAGGCGTGAGCATCCGGTCAGAGCGTGTTTTGCCCAGTGAAGGGGTACAACGGCTCTATTTGATGGGGGCTCTATTTATAGCCCCATGGCCGGCTCAAGGGAAGTCTCTTGCACATTTTCATTGACATAGCAACCTTGTGAGCTTAGCCAAAGTTCTCCCACTCATCTCCATCATTGATCCATCATCATTGTGAGATTGGGAGAGAATCCAAGTGCATTGCTTGAGTGATTGCATCTAGAGGCACTTGGTATTCGTGTTGCGCTGCGAATTTCGCTTGTTTCTCTTGGTGGTTGCCACCACCTAGACAGTTGGAGCAGCGGTGAAGGATCGGCACGAGTTGGTGATTGTTCGTGGCCGCCTTCGGTGATTGTGAGGGGAGTTGTACCTTCCCCGGCGGAGCGCCGAAAGGTAACTCTAGTAAATTGCTCGTGTCATTGAATTACCTCACTTGTGGGTCGGTTCTTGCGGTGTCCAATCGTGTGGACGAGGTTTGTGAAACACCTCTTAGCCGCGGAACCACCAAGTGTTGGTCGACACAACGGGGACATAGCGTGTTGGCAAGCACGTGAACCTCGGGAGAAAATCGATTGTCTCTCTTCTTTGTCATTCTCCCGGTGATTGGCTATATATTTATCTTGTGATTGGTTCATCCCCTACACGTCGGTATAATCACTCTACTCACTCATTTATATTCTTGCAAACTAGTTGATACAAGCTCTTTAGTGTAATTAGAATTGAGAGCTTGCTTTATTATTTACATTCATCTAGTTGAGCTCTTTAGAGTAGCAATGTTGAGAGCTCTTAGTGAGTAATTACATAGCTAGTTTGTGTGCCTAAGTATTCATTGCAACTAGAATTGTTGGATAGGTGGATTGCAACCCTTGTAGAGCTAGAGCAAGTTTGCATTACGCTATTTGTCATATTAATCAAATTGCTCTAGTTGATTTATAGATTTTTAAATAGGCTATTCACCCCCCTCTAGCCATATTAGGACCTTTCAGCGGCGCAGCAGTTTGAGGCGGAGGGGGCGAGTCGGGTGGGTTCGGGAGCATTCGTGACACCCGGGTTGGGTAGGAGGCCCGCGAAGACCACGATCGGACGGTCAGCATCGCTTGTTCGTCGGATCGGACGATTAATGGGCTAACGGGCGACGTGGCATGATCCAGTAGCCCGGTTTCTGGTGCAGACTTCGTATTTCGTATATGTGAACAATGAGTGGTTTTTGCAACAGCACCAAACAGGTGGGCATTTGCATCAAAATAGTTACGGGGGGAATCAAACTCCAAACTCCAAACGGTTATGTGAGGATTTGTAATTTACTGCGAGAAAGGAGAAAAAGATTGAACATAGTCCTCTCCAGAGTGTAAACCCAACACAGCGCAGCCCAGCCCATCAAAAAGCCCAGAAGGAGCCGACAGGCCGTCCTCACGACCCACCAACCTGCCTCCTCGTCCCTGTCTCCTTCTCCGTCTCCGTCGCTCCCTATCCAATCCTCCCCTCCCTCCCTGGGTCTTTCCCTCCCCCGCGTCGCGTCGCAGCAAGACGACCTCGCCGCTGCCCGCCTCCCCCCTCTCCCCGCCGCAGGCGCCGGAGATGCAGGCGACGGCCGCCGCCTTCCTCGCCCACCCGCTCCCGCAGCTCCGCCGGTGCGCGCGCCTGCCTTAAACCCTCCCTCTCGCCTCCCCACTCGTCGTGTTATTCCCTGTTTGTGGCGTGCTCAGAAGGTGATGTGGTTTTGTTCGATTCAGCATTGGCGGATGGGGTGCGGATGCGGCGGCGGTGCGTGGGGGCGTCATCGCGCTCCCGCCACGGCTGCGGGGGTCGCGGTGCTCCATCAGCCTCTCCATCGGCGCCGGCGTTGGCGCCGGAGGTGACCGCGAGTTCAGCTACGGTAAGAGGCGTTGAATTCATGGCCTTAATTCAGCCTCTCTGGGTTGCTTTTGTAGTGTAAAATTTTGGTAGGGTACCGTATGTGCCTTTTGGGTTGCCGATGCATGAAGTAAGGAATAGTGTGTGGGTCGTGTACTGCCCTTTAGTTAGCAAACTGATTGTACTTTTTTAGTTTTATTAGTAGGTAGCCAATCCTGCAATGCACACTGCTCAATGTGATCGTGAATTCGTGATGAGGAAATTGGGGGTGGGAAGGGGGCAGACTGGATATACAGAATGTATTCAGGAGAATCCTGCATTTTGGCAGGTAACCAGATTGAATGACGCCAGGTTATGCTTTAGGAGTAATTAGCCAAAGCATATGAGTAAAAATTTTTGGCATTTACCTTCAGATTAAAAATTATGTATGGTTGCATTTTCTCTATTGTATAAACATATGGTGTTGCTCTAAATCTTAAGTTTTTGTGCAAGCTCCTGTAATCTGTAAATCGTGGGGGTTTTGTGGACCTAGAAATAATGCTTTTGTACCAACACTAGCCTGGCTGGGGCTGCTGCAGTCATGAAACTTAAAAATGAAATGTATATAGAAATTTAAAATCTCATTCAATTAATTATGACAACATTATAGGTGTGAATTTAGTTGTGTGTGATGGCCTGATTCTTGCAAATCTCAGATTGTATCTTGGTTTACAATATTTTTAGACTGCAATATTTAATTATTTGTTGGGTTATTTCTGTACAAACAATTGCTTTACATGAGGTCATATATCCACCCCTCTATTGGTTATCAACAGAGCATGTTCCGATGTTCCCTAGATACCGAATACGAGATCCCTACAAGCTTCTTGGTGTTGATCGTGACGCATCTGAAGAAGAGATCCGGAGTGCGAGGAATTTCCTCATTCAACAGTATGCTGGGCATGAACCAAGTGAAGAAGCTATTGAAGGTGCTTATGAGAAGATAATTATGAAGAGCTACCAGCAGCGGAAGAAGACAAAATTTAACCTGAAAACCAAGTTAAAGAAGAGAGTAGAGGAATACCCTTCATGGGTCAAAGCACTTATTGGTTACTTCGAGGTGCCATCGATGGATATTATTTCCAGAAGATTGTTTTTCTTTGCTTTCATTGCTGGATGGAGCATAGCAACTTCTGCAGAGAATGGACCTGCATTTCAGGTATGCGCTTTGATTTATCCTGAGATTCTAAGTTCCGTCTTTTATTGTTGGAGGACATGTTTTTATCTCCATGGCTGTTCAATCTAGGAAGCCGGCCTATGTAGCTTGTAACTTTTACAGTACCTGCTAGGTTCAACTAACTTGTCACTAAGCACCTGAATGCTAAATAGATTTGCTCCTTGTGCATTTGTTTACTTTTACAGTATCTATTAGGTTTAACTAACTTGTCACTAAGCACCTGAATGCTTAATAAATTTGCTCCCTGTGCATTTGTTTTTCATGCAAGTGTCTAGCATCTACACAGCTTAGTGATCTGATAGTTTTTATCACTTCCATTTGATGATTTCGACAATGAGCAATGTTGGCATCTACTATATCTAATATACTAATGACAATACGGGGCCTGATAAATCTAGAGCTGGTTTTCTTTTGATCTTGGGCATCACTGAACTGAAATGGTTTGCCTGTGCAGCTCGCAATATCGCTATTCTCATGCATATATTTCCTCAACGAAAAGATGAAGAACCTCCTCAGGGCATCAACCACTGGGTACTGAAACTTTCTTCCATCAAGGCCTTGATTTATCATCAACAACAGCATGTTTACTCACTGTCTTGTTCTTCTAGGTTTGGGGTACTTGTTGGCGGTTGGATTATTGGTTCTCTACTGGTTCCACTGGTCCCAACATTCATCATCCCACCTTCATGGTCCCTAGAGCTACTCACCTCACTGGTTGCTTACATTTTCTTGTTCCTGGGATCCACTTTCCTGAAATGAACCTGTTTCAATCTTGTAAGTGGAACTGTAGGATTTTTTTAAAGAGGGGATTACGATGACTGACGTATCTGGATTTGAGTTTCAGAAAAATTTTGCTTGGACTGACCTCTTGAGATTGGAATATTGGCGTTGTTGTGGCTTAGGCCCCCTTTTGTGTCTTTTTTCTCAGCTGATGTAGTACACAGTTTTTTTTTTTTTTTTTTTGTCTATCTGGTGACGGTGCAGAGACAAATGTGGCATCAGTTACTATCTGTCAGTACATTTTGTGCTTTGTGTAGTGGTGAACTATTGGTGTGTTCGCGTGCAAGCATTGAAGCGAGCCTGGATCGCAAATCTGACCCATGGTTAGGGCTTCATGGTTGGATCGCAAATCTAGCGCTTACACGAATACCCGTCCCCTGCTGTCCCTAGAATGCTGCTTGTTCGTCTTGTTTGATTTTTAAAATCAACGTACGTATGGTCGTTATGGCTTCCTTGGCTTTGACAAATGACAACATATTTTTTACTGTTAGTAAAAAAAGCATCAAGCACCCTTGACTGTGATATCAAATTAGTTTCCTCAAATTATCCACAATATATGTCTTGACAGTTTATTTATTTGACCTTATAAATGTTAATGTGGGTTTTAAAAATATCTTGACCAAAGTCAGAGAAATTTGATTTAGGACAACACTAAACTGTGCTATAATTTTGGAAGTACGTGTAATTTTTTGTACTTACGTATGGGTTGGCTTCTACGTTCTCATAGCTCTCTGCAACAGAGGCGAACCTTGTCCAAGAAAACAGGGAGGAAAACCTAAGCAACCCTACACGCCGTGGGGAGCTAAAGTAGTAGCCCTTGCGCTAAATCCTAGCTAGGGTGTGCCACCGTTATAACATCTCTTAACAAACTATAATTGAGCAAAGCCGAAGTTTCGTGCTCAACAGGACAACAGTCAACAGCTCAAGAAGGGGTGTTGTCGGTACTTGAAAAAAAAAACTCCGTAATTCAGAAGTTCAGTACACATATCTGGGCCGTATTTTTGACAGAGGAGATAAAAAAAACTGGGCCGGAATGCTTCGGTCGGCTTGATTATTCTGTTTATTTCACTGAGAATAGAAGGCTTAAATCCACTGTTAATTCTCTATTATTGGATAATATCTTTTCTATTATTGGATCGTCATGGTTGTATTTGGACTTTCAAGCAGCAGTTGGATTGGATTGAGCACTACGTAGGTATTTGGAATTAGATTTGGATTGGATGTTGAACCGTTTTCTTTGGATTTTTTTTAATTTGATTTCTCTATTTAGATTGGGTTGGATTGGACACTACGTAGTTATTTAGATTGGGACTCTAATCCATTACCACGTCTAGCATATTCGACTAGTGAACTGAGTTTTTGAAACTGAAAGCATTACTAGGCCATTCTTGGGTCCAAAAATTCCGTACTGAGGTGATGCAGAACAGAACCGAGAGCACGCAGGATGCAGTCGTCAAAACTGAAAACCGTGTCATGGCAGTGGAACCGTTGGTTGCTGTTAAAGATTCTAAACTTGGAACTGCTCGTACGTATACTAGGGCATGTTTCATGTCTGGGAAAGTTTGCCATGACTCGTCTTGTCGATCGGAGCAGTTGTTTGCAGCTTTCGCAGCTGGGATGGACGACAGGACTAGCTGCAAGTCAGCAAGTGACGGCGTGATCGGCCTGAAAAGTGAAGAATCGCAAGTAGAATATCGGTGCAGAGACGAGACGATGGATGAAAACCACGAAGCATGCATGCCTGAAGTGTGAGTGGAGGCATGCAACCAAACGACGTGTCTGGTGGAAGCTGTAGCCCCGGTTTTGGCGCTGGAGCAGGTAACTGTGGAGTGACGACGCACACGGAGCAGTTGGACTGTTGGAGTGATGGCGCATGTGGAGGAACAGTTATCCCACTCGGCCACATTCTCGTTCGTTCTGCGTCTGCGGTCTGCGGTCTGCGGTGTGCTCCTGCGTGAACGCTAGCCCTTAGATTGCAAATTTTTGCAATCCGGATATTGTAGCACGTTTCATTTGTATTTGACAAACTTTGTCCGATTATGGACTAACTAGGCTCAAAAGATTCGTCTTGTGATTTACAACCAAACTGTATAATTAGTTATTTTTTACCTATATTTAATGCTCCATATATACGTCCAAAAATTAATGTGATAGAGAGAGTGAAAAAACTTGGAATTTTGAGAACAAGGCCCAGATAGATGACGGAATCTGCAGCAGTTTAGTACGATGCATCACATCACATCATCGGGGTTGGACTGTTGGTGTTGGTTACTCGCCCCTCCCAAAGCCTCGCGCAGGCAGGCAGGAGTACTGCGCTTCTGCAGGTGGCTGCTGCATCCCCTGCCCTTTTTTGTCTTTCTCTAAGTAGTACATGCAGCTCCACGTGGGAACATTGCATTCGGCGGGTATATGGGCGTCCGCTGAGGCTGTGTTTACTTCGCGAAACGAAAATTTTTCATGTCAAATCAGATATTTTGAGGACGTCGGAAGAGGTTTTTGATACTAATAAAAAAACTAATTACATAGCTCGTCTGAAAACTACGAGATAAATTTATTAAGCCTAATTAATCCATCATTAGCGCATGTTAGTTACTGTAGTATTTATGGCTAATCATGAACTAATTAGTTTTAAAACATTCATCTCGTGATTTCCAACTAAATTGTGCAATTAGTTTTTTTCGTTTATATTTAATACTCTATGCATGTACCGCAAGATTCGATGTGATAGTTTAGGTTGAAAATTTTTAGAAACTAAACCAGAGATGGACCGGAGCGAAATAAAGAAAAGAAAAAGAAATAGAAAAAAAAGGAAGACTCGATAGCTGCCTGTGACATAGGGCCAGGTGAACAGAGACTGAGGGTGGAGACTAGCGCCGAACGATTGAGATTTCCGTTCTTCTCTCGCCTCCACGTAAGAAAAGAAATCGGCTAGCTCGGAGCCTACCGCTGGGTCATAAAATGGGTCATCATAGTGAGTACTCGTAGCACAGTAGAGCATCAGCGACGACGACGTGGAGTGGAATGAAATCGAAACTTTGCTGTAGAGTAATCTCGTAGCATAGCAGGTGTAGCTGTAGCTTTCGATGGCCCTGACCATGTGACGAGGCGCCTCTACTCTGCTGCCACCGAGGCACGGCAGCAGCAAGCAGCAAGGCGCTGCTGTGCTCGTAACCACCGAATTGGACGGTAGCAACCGTGGCGAGACGACCGCCGACCGCGGTGTCCGTGTCCCTCCCTCGTCTGCTGCCGACTGCCGGGGAGTGAAATGATCGAACGGGAACAGCGAACAGGTGGCGGCTGAGCTCATCCACTGGGGCGACTGCCGACTGCGGCCGTGCTTGCGTTGTGGCCGTCCACTGAGGACAGGCGGATCCGACCAAGGCGTTCCCGCTTTTTCTCTCGCGTCGCGGCAGAATTCCCGCCTCAAAAGGGGAGTCAATTGCTTGCTCTCTCGCGGCTCGTGCGCCGCGCCGCCCTGCTGACTGCTCCAGTTCTAGCAATGCCCATACGTGCTCCTCCTCCTCGGCTACTCCCCGGGCCGTCCGCCCTACTGGAGTACGTACTGTACGTTCGTCGCAAGACAGCCAAGCCAAGTGTTTTGTTTGTACGTGTCGGCGGGGTCGGGTATCCTGAGTTCATCACAAACGAAATGTCTGCAACAATTCGGGTTCGACCACTTTCCGACAATACGCGCTACAAGTGGCTGTTTAGTTTCCAAAATTTTGCAAATTTTTTCAAGATTCTTCGTCACATCAAATCTTTGGACGCATGTATAAAGCATTAAATATAAATAAAAAATAAAACTAATTACATAGTTTAGACGAAATTCATGAGACAAATCTTTTAAACCTAATTAGACTATGATTGAACACTAATTGCCAAATAACAACGAAAGTGCTATAGTACAATTTTTCAAAATATTTCGCCAACTAAACGAGGCCCAAGCCGCTAGGACCTGATGATCAACTTTCCAACGCATAAACTCGACACGCATGAATTGCTCCTTTTTTCCAATCGTCATGCTCATACTGGTACCGAAGCTTAGAAGCCTACAACAACAGGCAGCCCAGCACAGGTGTATGCGCATGTACCGACGCAGAGAGCAGAGAAAGAAATTGTGTTGTGGGACCAATGCAAAAGGATTTCGCAACCAGGTAGGTAGGTAGCCCGCTGGCCGGGCGCCGACCGCCGACCGGGACGGAATTCTCACATGCCGATGATCGCCCCCGGACGTACGACGCCGAAAGCCGAGCGATCGACGGGAGGCCTCGTCGGCGAAGGAACAAACGCGACGTGTCCCGCGGCAGACATGCAGCCCGGATGATGATCGATCGAGAAGCCAGCGTTGGGACGACCTGAAGAAGCCTCAAGGCGATCGACGTGGACGTGGACGTGTGGTGGCCTAGCTGGCTCACGCACGCCAAGACGAGACACAACAGCAACGCAAGGCGCGGGGGTACGTGACGGACACGTCGCGCTGTTCCCCGCGGCGCGCGTCGGTTGATACTAGTAGTACAGTAACATGGACGCATCGAGAAGGCGCTTCACGCATCTGGCCATTTGCCACGCACGGCCCACGGGGATGAGGGTGGTTGGTTTTGAAGGTTTGGTGGTGATGCACGCATCCAGCCGCAGCCTGCAGCGACAGCATGAAGCTTGACTGATACAACGACGGCCTCGTTTTGGTCGGTTAATCCATCCATTTTTCTAAGTTCTGTCTATCACCATCGACCATCGGTGGAACAATCTTGTGCGCGA